CTTTCCCTCAGACTCTCCTAATGTGAAAGATGCTGCAGGCCTGTAATTACATTCTTGTGGCCTTTCACTGGACTGATTCCACTAACTCTTTCTTGCACCAAGGAGGCGAGTATTGGACACAGTACAGTCAAAAGTATATGGCATTGTGGCACTGTTAGAACAGTCAATTGAAACAGGAGACTGAACTTCTTACCTGTTTTCTGTCTCCAATTCATTCTTCCGTAAGTTTGCATCATCAAGAAGGCTCTGCAACAAGGCAATCTTTTCATTGTCAGAACCTTCTTGGTTCAACTTTAACATCTTGTTCTCATGCTGAAGGCGAATGAGTTTCTCCCTAAACACATAGAATACAATTTTGTAGAAAAACGTATGCCAATATCTATAAAAAGGAAAACAGTTTACCACAGCAGTTGTAAATATATTGTAAAGATCATCTTCACCTAGTTAAGGGAGAGAAGTAAAACAACAATATTCAAACCCCCAAATATAAACCTGATTAAAGGATGTAATTGTAGAAAGCACAACACAAGATAATTGCCTGAGCGCCCCTACTGGATCTCAACAGATTTGTAGGAAGAATGTGGGGAATGCAAAGCTTGGTGCCAAGAGTTAAGGGAGGTTGCCATCTCAGCTGTTACTGAACTGCTGCATGAACCTGGGCAAGTACTGTGTCCAGTTTCGGAGCCTGCTGTAGTGAGTCCAAAGGAGGGCCACAAAGATGAACAGAGGGATGGAGCACCTCTCCTGTGAAGACAGGCTGAATTTTTCAACCTGTAGAAGAGAAGGCTCTGGGTAGCCTTAATAGTAGTCTTCCAGTAACTGAAGGGGGCCTACAGGAAAGCTGGGGAGTGAATTAATACAAAGGTAGGTAACAAGAGGACAAGTGTTACTGGAAGAGAGCAGATTTATATTAGACATCAGCAAGAAAATATTGACTGTGAGGGTGGTGAGACACAGGCACAGGTTGCCCAAGGAAGTTGTGGATGCCCCCTCCCTTGAAGTGTTCAAGGACAGATTAGATGGGGATTTGAGCAATCTGGTCTAGGGGGAGACGTCCCTACCTATGGCAGGGGGGTTGGAACTAGATCACCTTTAAAGTCCCTTCCAACCCAAACCATTCTATAATTAGTTTGGGCAAGTTGAAAACTGCTTTACGTAAGTGACTTGACTTAGCATGAGTAGTTGGAGCAATAAGGCCTTAGGCTGCATTTCTAATTAAACTTCAGCTGAACTCCTGTGATTCAGCCTTAGTTAAACTTCTACTCTACCACCTGGAATAATACTGATAAAAGACACAGACAATGAGATAATTACTCAAAATTATCTTATACAATGGTAAAACAGTTTAATCTAAACTTTAACAGTTCAGTTTCTCCAACTTAACAATTACCCTGTAGAGAAGTAACTGGAGGATAGTGAGGGCAAATCGTCCTGACAAAAAGTGACTGATGGTGAACGGGGACTCTCAGCGGAGGGTAGAACAATCAGAAAGGGAAGATGTAATCACCATGGAAGAAAACTGGATGAACAGTTGCATGCACATCATGTTAACAACACATTTGGTTATTTGTGACATTTAGGGTTCTTTCTCACATAATCACGTGGAAGGTTTATGCAGTAACTCTATACTTCAAGAACACCGATTCAAAATGTTTTGTTGTTTCTGAACAACATTGCTCTTGTAGCAAGAGTAAATCTTGCAGCAGCATAGCCAGAAAAAAACCAAATATTTTATATGATTAGCTTTCTAGAGACCTATTATTTTACCATTGAACAATATGTTTTGATCCATATTGAGCTTTCCAAATATTAAAATACTGTATCAGTGTTGGTAGAGATAAAAGATTTCCTAAAGACCAACTTTTGAAATGTGATGCTCTCAAAACTTGGACCATACTGGCAAAGCTAAACACAGCCTGCAACATCTTAAAACACAATGATTTTCCGCTCTGCCACTGCTGTTCTTCCTTTTAATAGGTTGTAATAATTGCCATGATACAAAATGGAATTTATAATCAATTCTTCCTTTTACAAGTTTAGTAATTTTTTTTTCCTTATGCAACAATAGATTCTTGTTACAAGAGTTTTTTTCTATAAATGTACATAAAAGTTGCAGATATATGAACTCTCTGCAGGAAGAGACAGAATGTGAGCATAAAGAGGTTTTTTGTTTTCCTGTGTTTTTTTGGAGCACAATACAAACTCAAGAGGTCAACTGAATTTTGTCTTAAACAGAACAGCTTCTGTTGTACAGAAATCCGAAACATCAGTCATAGAAACTTTCTAACACTGAAAGGTAACTAGCCTATGGGTAAGTTGTAAATGTTAGTAAACCAAAGCACACATTAGCTTACTTTATTTCAGGAGTAACAATTTCTGCTGCTAAACTGTCTGAAGGCTCTTGGCTTCCCAGAGGCATCAATCCTGGGTTAGGAAAAGCAAAAATTTAGCAAACAGACCAGTAACTTTAAAGATCAGAAGTAACCACTGTTACAGAAGTTTACAGTTTAAGAATAATGCTAGAGAATGAAAAATGACAAAAAGACTACAGCGAGACATGCAAGCTCAATCTCATTTGAAGAATAATTATTATTTCTGTCTTCATTCTGATGAGGTAACTTTGTGGTGGATTTTCTGCTCATTAGCTTATCTAAGAACTTCAGAGCTGTGCAACATTGTACATAGAAATAAATTGCTACATGTGAAACATCATACATGTAAGAAAACTTTGTATTTCTCTTAAGAAAGTTACGTTAATACACAGAAATCAGACATATGTTATAAAAATATCAAACTGGGGAGGAGACTATTTCAGGCAATCAGAAATTTTAATGTTTGGAGTTTTCAAATGCTTACCAAGTTGTGAACAGCTGAAGCAGCAGTTTTTCACCGCTGATCTTAGAGGAGCTTAAATTTACTCTGTGCTAAATGAAAGCACATTCAACACCCTCCAAAAGAGTATTGTAAACTTTAGAAGAGATGCATTTAATCTTCTTACTTGTCCTTTACCTGTTGTGGTGAGTTGACCCTCTTGAGCTTGTACACATCTAAGCTCTTCAATGGTTTCTTTCAGAGAATCTCTTTCTGTTCTTAATCTCTGAATAATTGGAAAGAGAATGAATATCAGCCTTGGGAGTACAAACCCATCTTTAACTGTGCATGAGTTGCCAGAAGACATTGCCTTCAACACTTTGAAAAGAATTTAATGCAACTCCAGAAATTATTTTCAAATGAAGATTACCTCAGTCTATTTCATAACAGAATACACATAAATATGATATATTCCACATGAAAAATGATTTTTTCAGCAGGGTTGCTGCTCTGTCTTACACTTATGGGGGTAGTAATTTCAGGGTATAAACTTATAAAATCAAGATATTAGTGACACAAAGTTCTCGTTTCAGGTAGTAAACAACACTCACTGGGGCCCACTCAGCCATCCTCCTTTTCCCCTTATCAGGGCTGATTCCAAGAGAAAGGAAAGTGAATTAAGAGACCAAAACTTTCCCCCACTGAGAAACCAAGTTTAGCCAGGAGTGAAATGAAAGGCAGACAAGTACACAGTCAACCAACCAAACAAAATGCATTAACTTTATTTTTTTTTTGTCTTCTAATAGTGAAACTGTGAGCAGCATTTCCATATCCCCTTCCTCCTGTTTGCCAGCTGGCCTTCCATTCACCAGTATCTTAGTTACAGAAGAAAAACAGTTGCTTGAGGCAAAGAGAACTGAAGAACAGGACTGGACCATCTTGGGATCTAAATGCACTCTTCAGTAGCATCAGGCTTATACTCACCCAATTTGGCAAAAGTGAGCTTTGGGCAAAAAATGAGAACTTCACGTAGCACTAACTTTTTGTCCAGAAGGTTGCCAAGATTCAAAAATGAAAGGAGAAGATGGCAACTGTGTAAGATCTAGGTTTCAGTTTGCTCCAAAATCACTTCAGTTTGCTCCAAAATACTGTGTCCAGTATTACTAAAAGGTCCAGGACAGACTTCAGCTCTGCATAGGTATGGAGTTGTGTCATCCAACACCTCCTTGCATTTCATCATATTAACAGTTTGATTCAGAGATATTTTATATTTCAGCATAAATGGATCTAGGACTTTGAATCACTTTGGAAAAGAACATTCTGGTGAGGTGTGACAGAGGCTTCTGTTGTATTTCTGAATCCTGCAAGGTGAGCTCTGTTGAAACTGGCAAACTAATCTGAATGAAGTGCACATTCTGTTAGCACTGAAAGTAATTTCACAAACTCCACAGGTGAAAAACTTTTTTACCATAAATGCTACAGAAGAAGAGCCACACAGACAAGTGCTCAAATTCAGCTGCTAAAAGCAAGGATTCTGCAGTCTGCTACAAGTCAGCCAGCAAACTCCAAACTGATTCATCAAATGTCAGAATATTTTCACGTACAGAAAAAGCTCTTGGGCTTCACTTGTAAACCACAGACAAAATCAACCTGTCAAGTTATCTTAGTACTTATTACACACCACATCACAGAGGTAAAATTCCAAGCTACATAGCTGAAGATACCAAACTACCACACTTCACCAGGACATAACAACAAACTGAATTTCGGTAACTGTTTCCAAAATGTAACTGACAACACTACTGTAGCTTGTGATCTGTGGTGGGCAACATTACTGATATGTATGTGACAACAGGGAACAGAAGGAGTAACACAGGTAGTAAATAATTAAATGTTGAGAGACTTCAGCTGTAATCTACTTCTCATCAATACATATCCATTCAAAATAATGTATTAAACAACAGCATCTGCCCCACAAAAATGCTGTTTTCCAGGGGGTAATACAGAAAACTATACAACAATGGCCTGCAATTCAGATCCTTTGTGCATGAAGAAATGGTCCACCAAGCAATGGGTAAGCCACGGACACAAAATTGCCATTGTCAAACATAATAAAAATGGAAAAATAAACTTTAAATAAAGAGCAGAAGAGAAAGCCAAAATCACAGTACGAATACAGCTACTGTGGACATTCCAATCTGAACCGAAGGAGAGATGGAAGTGGTATCAAAGTAATACGTCTACAATTGTTTGAAAATTTAATAAAATATAGAAATCAGAGGCCTATGAACAGAAAATAACAGAAATTTTTCATTTAAATGCTATTTAGGTGTGTGACTGGAAATTACGGAAACAGCTGGACAGGAAATACTACTATTAAGGGAAAAGCCTGCACAGATTCTGACTGATGGGTAAATGGACCTGTACTTAAAACAAGCCTAAGAAATTGCAGACTCAAAGTGCCAGCCTTGGTTTGAGGTAGTCTGAGGCACCTCCATACACATTCCTAATAACCAAGCCAAAATACAGAGGTGAGAAAGAATAGTGTACAAGAGATGTGTGAACAATCCATTTTGGAAAGAGAGGATGGAGCAATTAATTGCAGAATCACTAACAGTAAATGATAGAGAGGAAGGGGATAGACAGGCTTCCATCCTCTGTGTTCTATGTTGGCACTACTAGTTGGATGAACAAAGAGCTGTCATAAAAGGGGAGATCACCACAAATGACATGTCCCCTCTTACACAACTCCTAAGCCTTTTGTTACAGTACTCATAACTCCACAAAGAGAAACATGCTCGTACCTCAAAGAATGCTTTACAAAAAAGCCAACAGGAGTTTAGTTCTAGACTCACACTACAGAAAACCTGTTTTAAAAAGCTTTTCAGAACAGGATAGATTACAATTATCCTGGTGATTACTAACTTTCTCACAGTCAAGGAACAACTTCAGGTCCCAAATATGAAGGTTTTTCCTCTCAAAAATAGGCTGCATATGTTTTTGTACAGTCACTTTATTCCATGCTGTACAGCTTTAAGGTTTAAAAAGGATCTTGTACACAAACATTTGAAAATTTTAAGCAAAAAAAGACTTCCTAATTTAAAAAGCTTACTGTAAATGTCTAACTATAATTACCGTATTACTGTGTTATAAAAGATGCAAAGTTGCTATCGCTACTATAAAAAAAAAATAACACCTTGGCACTTACATCTTTTTCTTTTTGGAGGCTGTCTACTTTTTCTTTCAGTCGTTTGCATTCATAATCTAATTTATCAGCTTTCTTGGATTCTTCAGATAACCTGTTTTGTAGTTCAACTGCCTGTGAGAACAAGAATCAATAATTTGTCTGCAAATATTAGTATTAAAAATAAAATACACAAGACAAAGTTGCCAATTACCATGCACCAGGAGTCATGTTGCAAACAAGTGAAATAGTTGCCTACAGGACATACTAAAAACTGCTTTCACCAGTTTTTTTTGTGTTTCAACAAAATCAACAGCATTCAACAGCATTAGGTCTTAGCACAAGCAAAGGAAGCAAAAACCGTGAAGTATTTTCAGTACATCTAAGAACAAGAATTTAAGTGCAAGTATAGTTTACAGAAAAATAACAATATAGTTCTATGGATCAAAGAGCTTAGGAAAAGCAGAAAAATTTTGCTTTCTGAGAAGCCTAGGAAAAACAAAACTATGAAGAAAGCCAATTAGCTATACCTTTTTTTAACTCTTTTGTTAACTCATAAGCCTCACTCAGAATTCAGCCACCAGTTTGTGAAGTCAGGCAATGTTTCTTAACCTGAGATTTTGCTTATATTTTTTTAACAGACTATTATAAAGATCCAGTCCTAGGCTCATAAACAGTTTACTGCAGAAGGACATACTGCTAACAAAGTCACACATAGATTTTCAGCTACAGATCACTAAAGAGCTTTTAAATTGAAATGGGTACAAATCTGAGTGGAAATATCAGTGAAGTGAGGCAAATTGGTGAAGTCTTGCCCTTTTTAAAACTCTCAGCCTTTACTAACAAAGGCTAATTTCCAGAACATTAGAAAAGTTCATACTGCAGAGAGCATGGAAGCAAGAAAGCTGAATAAAGACTGACCTCCAAACACAAAAGCTTAATGATGGCTCAGCTAAAGACATACAGCTTCTTCTGAAGCTATTAATAAGAAAGCTTTTTCTTAGCTTTTGTTTTACACAGAAAGTAGTTAACTTAAAATTGTGAAGTAAAGCAGTAGCCATACTTTAAGACTGAGTAGTGGTTCTAATTACCTTTGCTTTTCAATGTGTATAGATAGAGCAAAATAACTATCATACCTAAAAATCTGTGTGGTCTTAAGTCTCAGTGAAGGACTTTGCTGTTGTTCTTAAATTAAAGGCTGCAAAAAATGCACAGGTCTGCCATTTCTGAGATCACCAGTTTTAAAGAAAACTGTATCAAAATGTTAGATATGAAAATATTTCATTTCTCAGAGGTGACATCCATTAATGGGACTATCAGAATGACTGTAGGTGTAAAAAAAACCAAACCAATCCAAAGCAGATCATACATGACTGTGCCCCCACTTGCAAAATAGGTATATTTTCATCTCTAATGGAAATAAATGCATAAATGTTTGTAATCACTCATGCTATGGTAATGGTATGCAGAAAAACACAGCAGGAAATAAACTGTCTTGAATCAGGACTTGGGAGTGTATAGAAAGACAAACAGCTACATGGTAATGCAAAAGAATAAAAAGAATAAAAAAATAATGAACCGCCATCACATTTACTGAGCATTATCTGACATGTGGAATGAGTAAAGCAGGAATCTTGCAGCAAAGAAAAGCAAGACATACTAGTAAAATATATCAATGCACAAGCACAAAGGGGCTGAATTAAAATTACAAAAAATAATCCTGGAATCCTGGAATCTTCACATTTCAATTCTTCATGCTGCAATAAAAAGAAACTGCTGGGTGGGGTGAATATTCAGTTTCCTTGCCAGTCACTACAGGAGTTTGAATCAGGCACTTTTAATTGTACTCCTCTGATGGCATCATCATGAGTGGGGCTGGATTATTCACACACCAGAAAATACACATTCCACTACAGGGCACACTAATGCTCAGCAGTGACATAACATCAGAAATTTTATACCTGGCTTAATGGATATAGCACAGATTCCCAGAAATTAATTTTGTGATAGATCATGATTCACAGACAGGTCTCAAAAGGATCCCTGTCTTACAGACACTGAAAGCAAACACGCTGTGTGTCCATTTTGAGACACTGGCTAGGTGCAGAAAACTCACATCTGTCACAATACACCTGAGGTTTATCCCAGTCTCAGCCAGCAGAACAGTTTTGTACAAATCAACAGCTCCTCAGACATTAAATCCTACCCACAGAACACAGGAAATACTGAAGAAAAGGAGGAATACTCTCACAGCAAAAAGTATGGGACTGCCCCTTCTGAAAGTTTTATTGTCAGTGAAATAAGAATGATCAGATGCAGATGGTAAAGTTACACAACTATACCACATCAACTGTTCAAGAGAGTGAAATATTTGTTGCCAATAAACATGATACTACACGTGTATGAAAGGCTATTGCTTTCTACATTTACTCTTCCCTTTGACTGTCTGTTATTTCAACATTTTTCTTGTCCAACTTATCTTTTTTCTGGTGGAATAATTTGGATGACACTTAAAATTAGCACAGAGAGGCTCCAGCTAGATGTCTTAACACCTAAGATGGTCAGATGCAGAAGAGCAACAACGCGTTTTGGATATACATTGCTGCTGGACTGGCAGTGTCATCAGTGGTTGTTCCTGTATTTTTATTCTACTGTAAGCTGAAAAAGGATCCCTGTGATATGACCATTCGATCTTATGAGCAGGCAGAAACATAGAGTAAGCACTACTGCTTTAACACTGGCCCTGTAACAAGAATCCCAGAATGACGTCATATCAATGCAGTGTAGAAGTAGCGAGAAAATTAAGCACATCTTCCACCGTTACAGAAACAGGATCATATGGCACTTTGATAAACAGGGGGATAAACAGATGCCTTTCATTCCAGAGAATGCTTGTGACACACTCTATACTCTGCTGCTTGCATATAAACAACAGGGATTATATGTGTCCTCCACTTTTCATAACTAGTCAAATTCAGACAGAGGACAAACCATGACCTTAAAAAAGGAGGTCACTTAGCCACAGGAATAACTTACCTCAGCTGTGGTGTGTTTCTCAGTGCTGGAAGTGCAAAGTGGATACTTCTTAAAGAAGAGGCTCTAATTCAAGCCCCACTACTGAATATGAATTAGGAACTATTTCAGAAAAAAACCTTAAGATCTGTTAATTTTTTTTAAAATAAAAAAAATACTGCTTATTGGCAAACTAATGTAAACTTGAAAGAATGATAGGAGTTGCAAAAAAAGGAAGATAAAGGTAGTACTTACAAAACATGTTTATCAAAGAGCTGTCTGTTCATCATTTCTTTTTTATCTTGAGGTAGGAGCCATTTTATGAAGAGAAAGTGTTGAACAATACAGAGAACTGTTGCACTGATGATGCTTGTTCTTACCTGTCTCTTGTATGTTTCCAGCTGACTGCGTGCTGCGTTGGCTTTCCGTAGTTCTTCTTCCAGGCTCACAGTATTTTGCATGTACATTGTATTCTTCTCTTCTAAGAGTTTCACTTGCCGTCGCAAATCACCCAGATCTTCCAATTTCTTTTTGTATGACTCTACCTGGCTTTCTAACTTGGCTACTTTATCAGAAGAATGCCTGAAGGGACAGATTTGCATAAAATTTGTACTCTGAAAATTAATGAAATGTCCTGAAGCTTCCTCAGTATTTTGCCTTAATGCAGAAGATGTTCTAAGATACCATGAATAGGACAATAAAGTAATAATCTCCTACTATTACTAATGTTTTCACTTTTAAACTGATTCTCTACCATAACTATTTGTCAACTCAGAGAGTTGCTGACGGAAGCTAGACACTATTACTCTTCCTAATATAGTCTTCTTACCTGCTTCCAATCTTAGAATAATAGAGCACCATCACTCCATTTCCTTTTAACTCTAAATCAATTCCCACTCCTGCATTTTACAAGGGTAAAGAAGAACATTTTCTGCCTTTCAATTTTTTTTAATGATAGCCAGAAATAAAACTGTAAAGATCCATCTCCTGGGCAGCATATGCATGGTGACAGAGAAGTACAGTAACAGCTTTGAAGCCTGACTCCTTTTAAAAAAAAATTAAACAGCAAGCTCCATTCATAACATTTCAGAGTTTTTTCAATCCACCTGGAGCACTGCCAGGACACCAACAGCGCTCACCCCCAACCACCCACACCCCTGGTACTATTACTGTCCCCAGGTTTGTTTAGAACCAACTGATTAGAAAACTCAAATTTCCTATGAAATCTGGAGAATCCTCCAATGAACTAATAATCAGTTTATGGGACACTGGGACAAGGCGGATCTCCTTTATCCCCAGCAAAGTGCAGAGCCTCTCTCTGGGACAAGAAATTAACCTCTGAACCCATGCTGAATTCACATTTTATGGAATTATGCAGCCTGATGGGCTCTTCCCTGATACTAATGACAGGTAAAAAGCTGTTGGTGAATTAGAAAAGGCACTATTAAAATAATCCTTGCTAGACTTGCTAGAAAGAGTGATACAGGCGGGTAGTGGGTAACTGTTCTGAATAATCCATGGCAACACGATGCCACCACTGAAGGACTATACAAAAACAGCTGCCCCACCTATAAATCTCTAGCATAATCAAATCACAACAACTTTGGGTGCTAAAATCCAGTGGAACAGGGAGCTATAACAGAGGTTGTTCATATTAGCATTCAATGATGAACCAGAACTGCCACCCTAAGTGTAAATAATACAAACCCAGGAAAGGGTCTAGATGCCTGATGAGAACAGATGTCCAAATCATGGTGAAGGTGTATAGAGAATACTTGAGAGACTTGTTATGACCATAAGATAGAGTAAGATTGCTAAGGTTACTAATAGTTATTTATTAGGTACCTGATAAATAGCTAATTGACTTGAGCAGAATTTTGTGGTCATCTGAGTACTTAACTGGAGGATTCAAAAGCTGGGATTGAGAAAGTGTTTATATTTACTGTCAAAATTATTTAAACAAAAGCTAACGAAGACTAAGTACACAAATTATATGGATTAAAAGTTAACTTAAAAAAGGGTTAATGAAACAGCATTTACCTGAGTACATCTATTTCATCTTTCAAAGATTGAGCCTCCTCTGCCAACGTAGTAAGTTCTTCTGTTTGTTGTCTCAATTCAGCAATTTCCTTTTCTAGTTCTTCACAGCGTATTCGATAGTCATCTTTGGCAGCTTCTAATCTGTAGAAATGAAGTAAACCAGAAAATATTTTCTTAGCTTTAGCCACAGTTTTTCTCCTCATCATCCTCTCTAAAACACACAAAATGGCCTTCTAGAGCAGTGAAGGAGAACAGCAGCCCAATATGCATACAGAAACCTGTAGAAGCAGATTGACTTTTTTGATGCTCGCAATTTGACATCAGTCTTTCAGTTTACAAGATCCCAAGGTAATGTATGCTCTCAGAAAGACAAATTCAGAGTTTTTTTCTGTCATATTAATTTCTCACAATGGAAGCTCAAGCAGAAATTTTCACCTTTTTTATCTTGGGTCATACAGGGTTTGAAGATGACATCTTTATCTTAAGACTTTGTTCAGCTATACAACCTCTATACAGCCTTTGTTCCTATATAACCTCGACAATATTGACCTCATTGACAAGAAGTGCTAAATGCTGCAAAGGTCTTACAAGGGTAGATTTATTTATTTATTGACTTACTTGCTTACAAAGAACCTGTGCCTGCCCAGTACCTCTGAATAACGAAGTCACACATTCAGTTACCTAGTTAGCATGTAAAGAACTCAGGCCAAAGTTTCTGGAGTGAACTACTTACATACAGTATACACAGGCAAAGCTGCATTAAAATAACAAAGAGAAAATTTGTCAAAGCATTTTGAATTGTTGGAAGAGGACACAACCTGGAACATGAAGACTTACTGTGATTTTGATCAGAAATAAATAAAAACAACCCAGAAAAGAAGATATGAACATATAATCAATCAAGCAATCAATAAAAATCCACTAATTCAAGGAGTCCAGAAACTATCTCCAAAAAAGAATGAAGACAAGAGGTAGTCAATAGGTCATCTAAACTATACAACAAAGATTTGAATTTTGATAGGCTGGAACTGTCAATGGATAGAAAGAGGCAAGACAGGAGAAAAACTGCTATAACACCCTGGGCATCAGTTAATTTGTACTTATGTCCTGTTTATTCAGGTAGAACTGGAGAAGGAACACACACAAATCACCATTAGAAACTACATACCATGAAGACAGGGAAAGGAGATAAAGGAGGTTAGAAGATGAGTCTCACAGGTGAAAAAGGTTTAGAAGGACCTTCAGAACCTGAAACTAGAGTAACAGGCAGTGCAGATTTTGTATGTGGGGAGAAAACCCGTTTAAACAGCAATTGGTATTAGACTCAGGTAGGAGCCATTCCAGCCAATGGAGATGAATAAATACAGATAAAAGGGGATATCAAAGAACTCCATGGTTATGTATAGAAAGAAGAAAACCAAGCACTAGCTGCAGTGAAAGATAAACACTAAACATCTGACAGGAAATGGAAGGGAGAGAGTATGTCTGAACACATAGGAAAGAGAATATGCAAGAAGTGGAAAAAATGATAGAAGAGGCAAAAAGGAAAGTTACCTGGCAGCTGATTTAAGAATTAGAAAAGGGATACCAGAAGAGGACACAAAGAAGAGAAAAACTAGGAAAGAAATAGTATAGTTTCACCCACAAAGGATAGGGAACAAAAATGAAAAGATGATGGTGAAGTGGAACAGCCTTCTTTAGCAGAATAGCTTTACACAGCCTAAAAGCAACAGCCAAAAGGATCAGGAAGGATATTTAAAGAGGAACTGCGTTTCCACGTGTTAAGGAAAGGCAGATAAAGAGCAGAGCTCACTTGCAGATAACTTCCATCTTTTAGACATGAAACAGTTTTTTCCAACTCAGAGAAGTACATGCTTTGCTCTACAATAACACCAACTGTTGTACTGCCTATAGCAAACTTTCAGCTAGGAATTCCTACATCTTAAAAATACAATCAGAACAGTATATATAAAGGAAAGCATGCTACTTTTCATTCATGCTGATTTTTAAAAACATGGGTGAAATTACTATATACAAACAATTTCAAATATCTTCACAGAGAGAGGCAAGTACACAGCATTTCGGCATTAAGAAACTATGTTTTTTTAAGCTGGAACCTGCAAAGTGGTAAATCATAACACGTTACATTATTACTGTGGTTATCACAGAATCATTCAGGTTGAAAAAGACCTTTAAGATCATCAAGTTCAACCTATTCTACCATGTTCACTCCTAAACCATATCCCAAAGCACCACATCTATATGACCTTTAAACACATTCAGGATGGTGACTTAACCACCTCTCTGGGCAGCCTGTTCCAATGCCTGACAACTCATTCAAAGAAAATTTTTTTTCCTTATATCCAGTCTTAACCTCCCCTCGTGTAGTTTTATAACAGCCATTATACTAATTCATAACTGCAAGCAGAACCAGAAGAATAAAAATAATAGCTGTTGCCACCTACAAACAATCTAATCAAGTGTGGCTTTTCTACCTGAATGTTTCCTCTTGGAGTTGTTCTAGTTGTGTTTGCAGCTGCAAATGCCTACGACCTGCAGGGCTATTGGGATCTTCAATAGAATCAGATTGATTTAAACGTTCCATCAAAATCTGGTTCTCAGCGAGTAAGCTGCTTTTCTCCTCCTGGAGGGCTGCAACCTGTTGTGATGAAAGCATAAACTGGAATAACTGAGCTGTCCAGCTACAGAGAGCAACTGGGTTTTTTGTGTGCATAATAAAGCATCCACACAACTCACAAAGGGAAACACACAGGCTTCAATATAACATTTCACCAGAATATACTGTAACATTAATAGGCATTCAATTACTATACAATGTAACTAATGTATTGCAACATTAGAGGAGGACTTCCTACCCAGAAAACGGAACTATTTAACGGTATTTTGCACAAGTATTTGAAGCCATAGTTCTCAAAGGAGATAACTTCATTATAACAAAGTCTGCATACTTTCCTATCAAACAACTAAAACTAGCCCACCACAGTAAAGCTTTTAAAACCGATTTCTAAGAGAAACTATGTTAGTCAATCCCATCGAGTATCCAAGTTTGAGTATCCAAGGGATGGCTGTGCCCTTCCTAGATTATTTTTTTTTCATCAAGTGCTCAAGTGGACCTGAAACATGAACATAGTCCTAAAAATTACTCAGTTTCCACCAATGTTGTGAAAACAGTCTGTACTGAAAAGAAACCAAAGTGCTGCAATTCAAACAACAGCTGAAGCACGGGTTCACGTATTATTAAATAATACAGAATTAACATGCAGGAGAAGAAGGGGAAGAGATGGAATGCCAAGATCAAGTAGGGTTCCAATGGCAATGCCTTTTGAGGCTCCCACTTAACACTCTTGGTGTTTTCTGGGTGAAATATGCTTGATTTACAGTAAGGCTTTGTCTAAATTCACACATAGCTGATAGACTACAGTAACTTCTAATTGGAATTTAGCTCTTAACAGAAGCTTTTACAGCAGAATACCCTTTATTAGTTCTTTCATGTAGGAGTCAAACCACACAGCTCAACCTCTTCTTTCCCAATAAAGAAAACTTCTATTAGTATGAATCAGCTTCGTACCAGCAACATTGCATCAAGATAAGAGAACAACATTCACTCTGCTAACACAGGTAAAGCAAAATTATGGTGTAATTTTAATCTCCCTTTTAAAACTTATGTTTCAATACCATATGTCTTGTTTTCAACTGCCTAAAAATTAACACATCTCTTTCCCACTTCAAAATTAGTATGTACAACATAGCAAACCTACCTGCATATCTAACTCATGACATCTCTGGGCAATTTCTTCTTTTGTTGCTAGTGCTTCATTTAATTCTTCTGTAGTTTTCTTCAGCTACCATAAACAACAAACAGTTATATTTTCATCACTGTCTGTGAAGCATCTTAAAATATCACATGACTGCAAAATTATTTTCACATTTAGGTAACATATTATTTTTTTTTAAACTGCAGCAATTCCAGCCTCATAAATAATAAAAAATCAGGTATAGTTACTGTTTAGTTTGTGTGACAGTAAAAAGTAAAGTTACCTAAAAGTAGTATTTGGTCTTACAAAGATACATTAGAATGATCACATCTAATCCATAAATTAAGTAAAAAGAATCCTGAAGAACTTGGGTCTGAAGAACTCATCAGGTCTGTACACTGAAAAAATTGTCAACACCACTTTTCTTTACAGATGTGAAGACTGCGTAATTTCGGTTTGCAATCTACTTTTCAAATACAGAGAGGACTGGGAAGTGGATTACAGGGAATGGACAGTTAGGGTAAAATTTTTCTAGTCACTGGAAGCTACTCTTACTACACAACAGGAAGACAACTAACACAATGAGGGAGAAGCCTACCCTTTTGAAAAAGGACACTGAATCTTGTAAGCCATTGGAAATACCCAGATACTTCCCTTCAAAGGCTTCATGTTCAAAGATACATATCTTGCAAGTTTTTATATGAATGCAGTTAAGATAACATAAAAAACGTAGCTACAAGAAAATTTGCCTCATAAAACAGGCACATGCATATTATGTTTATACAGATGGCGGTATTTATTATAATGTATGATTCATTTCAGATGGCTTTCACAAACAGCATTTATTATGTCTTACTTTTTCAAGCTTATTTCTCAAGGACCTGTTGACGTTTAAAAAAAAAAATTAATCCATCTGAACTGATCTACTTCTGCAGAGAACGCATGATGGAGGAACACCAGGAACACCACTGTACTATACATCTTTTAAACTAAAACCAAAACAAAACTAAGAAAGTAGGACAGTGGTAGGAAGAGGTTAAGCTAGTATAAAACAAATTTGGTCTGTATATTCTTTAAATATATTAGGTAAGGATTCTCTTTGAACACTTTCCTTACTTATTTTCAGTTCTCAGGACTGGTTTAAGGATTTTTGAATGACATCTGTGGGGTTTTTTTAATCTGGTTTTGGAAGTAGGTCCTGACAAAAATAGTTTTATTCACATGTTACATATTTTTTGGTGCTTCCTCCTCAATACCCAAAGATTCGCATCAGTTTGCAGCTTTGCGTAATATGACATAGAGGTAAACTTCCCCACATGATTTTTTCTATCCTTTACATACACAAAATAGGCAAACTATTATGCAAAAGGACTTGAAACACTGAAACTTAGTTTTTCACTCGTTATTTGACTTTCACAAAGAGAAAAAACAGTCTTCTTAATAAAGCAAAATTTCTGGGCACTGATGTGCTATGAGCGAAGAAAAAGAAACATCTAATCTTAGATACCTGCCGATCAAGGTCAACGTAAGCATCATTTCCAACAGAGACGGGAGACTCTTTACTCATCAACTGCAATTAGATTACAATGGATTAGAAAAAGTAAGGATTTACTTCTATGTTAAAAGCTAAGCTTCACTGAAATACCAAGCTTTTAGGAGCTCCAATCTCACTTAACTCTGAAGTTTTTTATTTCATTTTTTATATCATATATTCAGAAACAATTGCAGAAAGAAATCTTCAGAATTTACAATACCTAGACCACTGTAAAAGCAATTTTATAAAATTTCTTTTTCTTCTGAAAATACACATTCCGTATCTATGATAAAACCAACAGCACACTCAGTGAAGTGTTTTACTTAAGTGGCACTGGAGTGACAATAACTATCAACATACCATGCAAGACCTGCCTTTAATTGTTCTCTCTCAGTGGTTTTTGATCACCTGGAAGTTCACATCAATATATTTACTTAGTGAAAACTGGGGACATATCTAGCTGAGCTAATTGTGCAAAACAGAGATGATAAAAATTCCTGTTCTGGAGTTGACTGTAATTTGAAAATTTTAAAGGAAAGTCTATGGAGAGTATTCCTGATATGAATATTACAATTCCTTGTATACTAACCTATTTTATTGCAGGAATGGCTGGCAGTGATTTTAAACTAGAAAATGTAACTTTCAGTGATGACATTTTAAAACAAAAACAAAAGGAAAGAAAAAAACAAACAAAAAAGTGATGTTCTTATTAAAAGATACAAAGCTGGTAAGAAAGTAAGTTTTCATTCACTAACCCACTAAAGAGCTACACAGATAGTTAAAAGTTACATCAAGTATAATAGAAGTTGGAGCCCAGAACCCCCCTCCCACCCACCTCCAGCAAAAATGAACAGTCTTCCAAATAAGAAATTTGTACCTAACTCAAAAGGCAGCATTACAGAGCCACATTGATTGTTTCTGTCATCCTGCCTAAACACAAAATGTTTTACAAGTTTCCCAGTGACACAGTTCATGGAAGTTAAAATCAAAAAGGCCCTATCCTAACTAAAATCAGGATAAGATTTCTTTCCTAAGGCCTCCTGTATAGCCTGGTTCCTCTGTCCAGAGACTGGACTTCTGTTATTTCTTCCAGAAACCAGTGCTTTTGCATTACTTTTCATTAGCAAAGCTCCTTGGATACACAGCAGAGCACTTTGATTTCTTCTTCATCGTTCTTGTTTATACCACTATATATAAATGAAAATCTCTGTTTGACATTCAGATAACTGAAATATTTATACACTTATATTTCTCTCCCTTTCCCCATGTCCTTAATTGGGATTTAGCAGTGTATTACATGCTTAAATTCACCTACGTGTCCTCAACAGTCCTCTTTGGATCTTAACAATGTTAATTGCTAACTGCTAAATTCCTACCATTTTGTCTACGTTTACAATGACAAAATACTCAGAAATTAAGCATGCCACAAATCCCAGGTTCTTTGTAACAGGAATTAGAAAGTTCCTAGCCTCAGAGGTGTCCCCTGACAAAAGAAGTCATGTGTCTTTTTCATTACCATACATGGTGGCATTACAAATGTGCATTTAATTCAGAGCTATGTTTTCCAAGCTGATGATCGTTTTGCCATTCAAAACTAGAATTTCCAATTCCTCTCTGCTCAGAAATGTTCATACACATTCTATCACAGAACACTGTTTGCAACTCATACACTAGGTGAGTTCTACCCATTAAGCCAGTACTTTTCAACCGGCAGGTCCCTGGCTGCTTGCAGCCTGCACAGGTGTACAACAGTATTTCCCTGATGGTCACCACACTGTTCTGGCTCCAGCACAACTTCCTCTTTGAAAACCCAGCTTAACAGGCTTGCCGAAGGCTCACTGCCTATAAGAGAAACATAAGAGGCTGCACAACCCACTAGAGGCCACTGTGGTGTCGCTGCTCTCTGTGGATTACAATAAAGGAAGCAATCCGAGGACAATAATACAATCCCTTTATTCTTCAATGGGTTTTCGCCACCTCTCCCAAAACTTTCTATCCTTGAGAACCCGCAGCAGCAATGCCCAGCAAAGGTGGACATTAGCTGGAGAAGGATTATGCGGCACATACATGATGTGGGTGTAGCATAAACCTTAAACAGAATCTCTGAATTTAACTCTGCTGAGTGCCTCAGGAATGTCATGGAAACTGTGCATGAGGCACTGATGGCAAGAGCCACATACAGATGATATGCAGATGACTAACTCAATGCAACGATAAGGATCTTGCAATCTTGTGGCCTGTGATACAGTGGAGATGTTAAAGAAGAAATCGAAGGTTTTGTGCTGTGTCCAGAAGCATAACCAGACAAGCAAGAGGAGTGAGATTTCCAGATTACTCACAATTAATACATGAATCCAATTTCTGATCATCAGTTAACAATAACCCAAAGTTAAGAAGAAAAGTGAAAAAGAGAGTTTTCAGGCTGAAGGGGTGACTCCATCTTTTTCCTACACATTGAGGAGGTGTATGTAAGCAAACGTCTTAACTGTCCCTCTGCTTCTGTATTGTTTCTACTCAGTTTCTCCCTGTTTAACAGCAAAAACTTTACTGTAAACAGCACATCCAAAAGGGTGCAACTCCATCCACCTATTTAAACTTCTCCTTCTTTAACAAGATTTCCTGAAAAATTCAAGAAAAGTTTTATTTAATGTTTACAGATTTAGTATTCCATACAGAAACGTATGTCAATTCAAAACACACACTATACTTTTCAGCCACCTAAAAAACGTAACAGACTTGTTATTAACTAGTTCAGTTTTTATCAATCAGCATTCTTTGATACTACAGAAGTTCAGAGCTCCAAAATGCTCAATTTCATAAGTTACCTGTGCTAATCTGATTGTACTACCAGGTTCTTATTCTCTACATATTTCCTTTACTTAGAAGCTCACATTTGAATACCTAAAATACTAATGTAATTTTAGTGCTTCACATGCAGCCTGTAATATTAGAACACATGGACGTATGGGTGACTTTCAACGCTTCTAAGTCTGGAGTGGAAAACTTTATTTCACTCGTATTTTAATTGTCTGACTCAACAGAAAAAAAAAAAAAACTGAAGTAAGTAGCCTCAATATCCCTCCACAGCTGCAAGTCTTCTTTTCTCAGGAGCAAAAAGGTCTACCTTCACAGTTCTGCAGCAATGAGACTGGCTTTCAGCTTCAAACTCACAATTTAGCTTCTGTGTTATCATCTGTTTTCACAAGCACCTTTAATGGATTATGACGTACAGAGATCTTACAAGTCAATTAATTATAAAAAGGGAAATAAAAACACTGCTGGCAAAATGAACTGCATTAGGCCTCTACAGTAGGAGTCAACTTAAAAGCTTCCCACAGTGAAAAAGCAAGCAACTAGCATTTACTTCCTTGTTCTTTTTCCGGTTTATTTTCTATATTTAGAATGAAGACTTGAAGTCACGCTAGTATTTGTTCAAATAATCAAACTGTCACTTAAGATCAAGAAAGCTTATTCTATGACCTATCTAGAGGTCAGGCTGGATTTAAAATGGTACAATAACCTGGGTAACAGGACAACTTTTGGAATTATTTTTCTTGTTTTATGAGAAGCAGTTGTCATTCTCTGTTAATCCTTTACACCTATGCTTTTTCATGCTTGTAACTTTGATATGATGTCTTACAAAATACTTGTAGGTCTGCTAATTTTGTATTATTAAAACCTTCACTCTTAAACTGCTTTTCTTGTGAAATGCAAATAAGTTGTGTTGTCATGGACACAAAGATTGGGGAAAGGGTAAAACTGTAATAAAATCTGCATGCATAAATAAACTGAATTATGAATGCTTTTCCCCCCTAC